TCTGTTGATGTGCATTTGGGTTGTTTCCAAGTTGTGGCAATGATAAATAAAGCTGCAATGGATATTTATGTATATGCCTTTATATGGACATATGCTTTTTATTTTCTTGTGTAAATACCTCGGAATGAAATGGCTGGATCATGAATGTTTAACTTTTTAAGGAACTGCCACACTTTTTCCAAAGTGTTTGCAAATATGTAACAATGTGTGTACATGTCCCTCATGGGGTGTGTCAGAGTTCTAGTTCCCCTGCACCCTGGTGAAAGTGGTCAGGGAGGTCTTGGTGTGGTTTCAGGATTAGTGAGGGTGTGTAGAAGAGGAGAGCAGGAAAGATAGGAGGTGCTAGTTAGAGAAGTGAGGAGTTTGAAAATGAGATTTCGGAGGTGGTGCATAGTAGGACTGTGAAGCATGGGTGTCTTTAAAGAACAAGCTCTTTGGAGGTGAGGATGTCAGGAACTGGGAGGCTGGGATGTTAGATGTTCATCCATTTGGAAACTGAAATCACCAGGAGCGATGCTAGAGAGCACATAGTCAGCCAAATGTGGGCGGGAAGGTGACCAGGAAAGCGGTAGTTGGCTGCAATAAAGGGCAAACGTGACAAATGCTGGGGAATCTTATTCATACATTAAAGTTTTTAAATTGTGAAATGTTTTAGATACTCAGAACACCATATATAGAACATGTATAAAACCTCAAGACATAGAACATTACCTGATGTGAATTGCAGCTGCAACGAATTGAATATCCCCTGGGCTGTAATACAGATGATAAAATGAATGATACTAACTACCAGTGACATTAATGACCATGTGTGGAGTATGGAGTGTGGACTAGGTGGTGGGCCTGCACTAAGCTCTTCACTTAATTCTCACTACAGTGATTCCCCCACAAGATTGACACTGCTTTTTCCATTGTAGTAACAAATGGAGTCAAAGAAAAAAAAGAAATAGAGCATTAGCAGTACCTTTTAAATACCCTCAGTGCCCCTTCCAATTGCGCTCCCTCCCCCTCCCCCTAAGGTAACTGCTAGCCTGAGGCTGTATTTATCTTCCCTTGTTTTCATGGTTCACCTCATATTTACTTTTATGTGGTTTTTCCTGATGTGTGTGTGGGTTTTTTTAAACTCTATATAAAAATTTCAGCCCTGGCTAATGTGGCTCAGTTGGTTGGAGCATCTTCAGCACATACCCAGGTTGTGGGTTCTATCTCTAGTCGGGGCATATGCAGGAGGCAACTGATGGATGTTTCTCACATCGACATGTTTTTTTCTCTTTCTCTCTCTCTCAAAATATATATAAATAAATAACTAATAAAAAAATAAATAACTTCAGACCGCATGGATTCTCTTTGCAGCTTTTTGTTTGTTTGTTTGGCTCAGTGAATCATATGTTGATTCATAAGTGAATCTACATTTGTGTCGGTTCATGTAGCTGTGGTTAGGTTTTCATTGTGTTAAGGTATTCATTGCAGGAATATCCCATAACTTGTTTACCACTTTATTTGGCTTGTAATTCCAGATTCTCTCTATTACAAAGGATATGATATGTGTCTTTTAGTGTATATGTGAAAGAACTCTTTCTCCCGGGTAGGTGCTGGACTTTGTGTGTGTGTAAAACAAGACAGGAACACTGGTGTGAAAATGGCAAAAGGCGCAGAAAGACACCAGCCTGTCTGCAGGCTCAGCACCGTGCGGGTGAGGGAGGCTGCGGGGGAGGGTGCTGTTGAGTATACTGGGGCTTCGGGGTTGGAAATCCTTCCCCATTATTCCCAGAGTGACTTTCTCCTTGGGCTTCACCTTGCTGTTGATCATCTCTATGGCTCTATGTGGATGCAATAGAGGTATAACACAAAAACAATCAAGACAGACTCAGGGAACTCAGACTTCACTCAAAAGAATTGTGTTTCATATTATGCCTAATTTTGTGAGCTCTGTCAAACATTCTAACCTTATAAATCATCGTCATCATCACCATCGCGAGTCCATTGTTCCTTCTGTTGAATCAATTAAGATTTATTGAGTGTCCTATGTCCCTGGCACTATGTGGATTCTGGTAATGCCACTATTAACAAGAAAAAATGGTTTCCCTGAGTCAGATATATGAGCTCTTAGTGCAACTAATGGTTATAACAAAGCTTTTGAAGTAGGGGCAGCCCTGGCTTGTGTGGGTGTCTCCTACACCCCAAGTTCCTTCTCCAACCCTTTCAAATCTACCCACTGGAGCACCTTTGATAAAAGTAAGGAGTAGTCAGATGGGCTCTATTGGAAGAGTAAAGCGTTAAAATCATCACACATGCGCTACTCTGTAACAAATATGTGAATCTGGAGCTTGGCTAGCATTGAAGATACAATGGTGAGCAAATAGGTTTGGGCCATGAAGGAGATTTCAGTCAGATAGTGACACATTTCACCAAAATATTAAACCATGATCAGTACTATGAAAGAAAATGAATCAAGTTCCTCTCCTTTACACACCTCTTCATTCAGTAAATATTTAGCACCTGCAGCAAAGCACTGTTCCCAATCCCGACAAGGGTGGGGAGGGGAGGACAGCTCCAGTGACCTTTGCAAAGTTGACCTGCTTTCAAGGAGCTCTTGTTTCTTCTCCCACTTTTAGATTCCTGATACCCATTGCATTCCAGCAGACCAACCGCCCTGTGCCCGTGGTGTATTCTCTCAATACTGAATTTCAGCTCTGCAATAATGAGAAGGTGTTTCTGATGGATCCCAACACATCTGATATGTCACTGGCAGAAATGGATTACAAAGGAGCCTTCTCAAAAGGTGAGTTGTTCCCTTCGCCTGCACAAAGAGACCGTGGCTGAATGCGAGAAGTTTTCAAGTAAACCCCTGGACCAGCATCTCTGCTCATCAGCTTTCTGTCAGCTTGCCAGTGAAGATTCCCTCAGGGTGGATGCCTGTGCAGCCAGCATGTAGTCAAAGGAACAGACCCGTGTTCTTCCTTCATGTCATCCTATATAATAAAAGGCTAATATGCAAATTGTCCCCTTGACCAGGAGTTCAACTGGGAGTGGCTGGGCCAGCTGGCCAACAGCCTGTGGCCCCTCCCCCCTTCCAGCCCTGCTCCCGATCGGCCTCGGCTGGACCCCACCCGTGCATGAATTCATCCACCAGGCCTCTAGTTTCACAATAAGATCACACACTTGGCAGTATAGTCATTGGCAGTGTGGCACTGTGGGAAAGCACTGGTCTGAGTGGCAAGAAGACTGGAGTTTCCAACCAGATTCTAACACACTGACTCTGGGCAAGTTGCTTTATCTCTCAGTTCCTCAGAGAGATTGCAGTGTGACCCCCACTGCCTGCCAGCCTCAAAGATATGCCGAACATATATGTGCTTTCCATCATGCTTTCTCTGCTTGTAATGGTTCCTCTGCCCCCTCCTTGGCCCACACATGGTTCCCTTGACTTTTCAAAAGGCTAGCTCTCTCTCTTCCTTCAGGTCTTTACTTACATGTTGATCTTCTCAATAAGCCTTTCCCTGACGACACTGGACAGTCTAACAGAGACCTTCATAGTTTGCGCTTTCACAGAACACTCTTCAGTTTTTATAGTGCTTGTCACATTTTTAATATTTTATAATATATACTAGAGGCTCAGTGCACAAAATTCGTGCATGGGGAGGGGGGTCCCCTCAGACCAGCCTGCACCCTCTCCAATCTGGGACCCCTTGGGGGATTTCCTACTGCCAGCAGTTGGACATCCCTCTCACAATCCTGGACTGCTGGCTCCTAATTACTCACCTGCCTGGTCGCCCCTAACTGCCCTTCCCTGCCAGCCTGATCCCCCCTCACTACCTCTGCATGCCAGCCTGATCACCCCTAACTGATCGTCCCCCTGCTGGCCTGATCGCCCCCAACTACCCGCCTCTGCCAGCCTGGTTGCCCCTAACTGCCTCCCTTGCCAGCCTGGTCACCCCCAACTGCCCCCCCTGCTGGCCTGGTCCCTCCAAAATGCACCCCCCTGCCAGCCTGGTCACCCCACACAGCCTGCTTGTTCAGTCATTTGGTTGTCCCTCACTAACCACCCTGCTGGCCTGGTCATAGGCAGCCATCTTGTGAGGGCATGAGGGTCATTTTGCACATTACTTCTTTATTATATAGGATTATTTCCGTATTTGTTGCCTATCTCTACCAGTAGATTGTAAGTTACTTGAGAACAGAGATTGCGATCAAATTTGCACAACTTACCGCCAGTGCCTGGGTGCCCAATAAATATTTGTTGAATGAATAAATTAATTAAACAAAGATCTGCCTTTCCTCTCTCAATTACCTCTTCTGCCTTTTTCTTTTAATCTTCTCATATCTGAGTTTTTCTCTCATCCTAAAAACACATTCAAGTCCTGCCCTTAACAGGAAAAAAAAAATTCTCAACCTTACCTCCACTTCAAACCTTCTTTTCTTTTCTTTGAGGAACTTCCTCAGGGAGCAGTGAGCATACACTATCTCCATGGCCTTTCTTCACAGTCAGTGCTCCGGCCACCCATTGCAGGCTGGGTTTGTCCCACCAACGCTCAGAACTCTCTCTTGTCGATGACACTAAGTCCATGGATTTTGACACATTTTTTTTCTATTTGGCTTCCTTTTCACCACCTCACCTGACACGGTCTTGCCTCTCTAACCACTTCTCACTCTCCTTCCCTGGGACTCTGTTCTCTGCCCTGTGTGTGTTGTTGTCCCCATGTTCTTTGCTTGGCTCCTTCTGTTCTCCCTTCAGTGCTACCTCTGGCCATCCCCATGGCTTGTCCCATCTGTTTACTCTGAACCTGCTAGAGTCCTACTACTCCACAGCCATTCCACAAAAGGTGACCTCATTCCTGATCTCACCTGAGCTTCATTCCTCATTTCCATGTGCAGTCTGGAACCACCAAGCCTCTCCAGTGGCTGTCTTTCAGACACCTAGTGATGGCTAGAGCTGGACTTACCTCCCTCCAAACATGCTTCTCCCCTATCCACTGCCCCGCTGACCGCATGCCCTAGGTGCCCCAGGAAACAACCTCAGGGTTATCCTTCTCTTCTTCACCTCCCCATCCCATCCATCATTGAAATGAATGGAATCCAACTCCAAGACATTGCTTGAATCCACCCCCTTGCCTCTCAGCTATAGTTTAGCTATCACTAGAGCATTAAAATAGCCCTTATCTGATCTCTGTGACTCAAGTCTCTTAGGTCCCTCCCTTCTGTTTTCTGAAGCCCAGGTGTGTTGACATTATGCCCAGGCTTAAAACCTCCCAGTGTTCCTTGTTACTTACATACTTAAGCCCAGAATCCTCAGCACCATGAGTCTATCTTCACAGGAGTCTCTCCTGCTGGAGCTTCTATTCGTCCTCCAATCCAATCACACTGACCTACCACAGAGCAAATGCTCTGGACAAGCATTTGGAGGCAGATGGATTTGTGCTCAACTCCTGTGTCTCATGGCACAGACAGGAAAACTTGGAAGAGTTCTTTTAAACAGGGGTAATAATTGAACCTATCTCTTTGGGCTCATGGAAGGATTTAAATAAGACAGTGTAGCTGAAGAACTTGTTGCCACATCAGGCACTAAGTGCCTGGGACTCATACCCTTCCAGCATTCAGTATTTTGTACTGGAGTTTCTTTCCCCTAGAATGCTCTCCCTGCATCTTCCTTCCATCTCAAATGCTCTATCTGACAAACACCTACTCATGTTTCAGGATTATGCTCAAATATCGTCTCCTTGTTATAACTTTACATGCCTCTCCCCAGGCAGATTTCTTTGCTCAGCGACATGCTTATTTAACATCATGTACCTTCCTCTATTGTGGTTGACAACAGCATAGAGTTGTGGTGGTTAATAGTGTAGGCTGTAGAGCAGTGATGGCAAACCTATGACACGCGTGTCAGAGGTGACACTCGAACTCATCTTCTTGGTTGATTTTTCTTTGTTAAATGGAATTTAAATATATAAAATCAATATCAAAAATATAAGTCTTTGTTTTACTATAGTTGCAAATATCAAAAAATTTCTATATGTGACACGGCACCAGAGCTAAGTTAGGGTTTTTCAAAATGCTGACATGCCGAGCTCAAAAGGTTCGCCATCACTGCTGTAGAGCCAAAGTACCTTGACTTTGAATCCCACTTCCTAACTTTGTGACCTTCAAAGAGTCACTTAACCACTCTGTGCCTCGATTTTCTCATTTGTGAAATTGCCAGTACTACATGAGTTCTTACATGGAAAGGACTTAGTTCAGTACCCAGCAAATAGTATAAGCTTGATAAATGTTAGCTATTTAGCAATTGCTTAGCTATTATGACTGTTCTCTCAGCTACATCTCACTCATCTTTGTATTCCCTGCACATAAAAGAGTGCTTGGCACACTTTAAATGCTTAATTAATACATTTTGAATAAAAGAAGCACGTGGATTCATAGAGCTCTTCCTAGAAAGATATTTTTGTCTCTAAGAGAGTGTGTTAAATCCTTTCTACCCTTGACATTTCTTTCTCGTTAAAGTCTGACCTAATTAATGCGGCTCAATCTTTCCAGGTCAAATCCTTTATGGCCGAGTACTTTGGAATCCAGAACAAAACCTTAATTCTGCTTACAAACTCCAGCTGGAGAAAGTCTATCTTTGTACTGGCAAGGATGGCTATGTGCCTTTCTTTGATCCCACGGGAACAATCTACAATGAAGGGCCACAGTATGGGTGCATTCAGCCAAACAAACACCTAAAACACAGATTCTTGCTGCTGGTATGTAACTGTTCATGTTAAAGAGATGACACTTGAGTAGATTTTCTCAGCTCTGAGTCCTGTCTAAAGCTAATAGAACTCCACTCTTTATGGTTTTATATATTTGTGTGTCTAATACATATATACATATTATTGTTGTTGCTTCTCTCTGATCAGCTGAATTCTAGTACAGGTCTGATGGTATGGTGGGTAACAGACAAGCTATTATTAATATCCCAGGAGAAGGAAAGTCTAGCCCAGTGTTTCTCGAGGTGTGGTCCAGAGACCCTGAACATCCTCAGTACTCATTCAGGGAGTCCACAAGGTCAAAACTACGTTCCTACCAGTATGATGACACTTGCCTTTTTCACACTCATTCCTTCATGAATGTAGAGAGCATGAAAGGTTTATTGATATGAGTTCAGATTCCAAATTGTAACTAATATTTTTAAAATAGCACTTACCACCTTATTGATAAAAGCTATTAAAATATTCTTCCCTTTAAACTGAGTAACTGTGTGAGGTCATTTTCTTCATATAAACAACATAGCACAACTGACTGAATATAGGAGTTATGAGAATCTAGTTCTTTTCTAAAGATTTGCAAAAATATAAAGCAATGCCAGCTCTTTTTTGGGGGTGAATATAGGTATTTTCTCTAAAGAAAATATGTTACTTATGTTAATATGTAATGGGTTTTTCACTGCCATTTTAAAATGAATTTGTAAATAGTATTTCTTGATTTTTCAGTGTTAACTTTAATACAGTAAATACCGAAGATACAAACCACATAAACAAAAGACTTTTGGGGTCTTTGATTTTTAAGTGTATAAATGTTTCTGAGACCAAATAGCTTGAGAGTTATTTGCCTAGGATACCCCGCTCTCTGTGTTTTGAGATCACAGAGGCCTTCAGGTGTCCTCCCTTGGAGAGGGTGGTAGTATCCAGAGGCGACCCAAGGAGAGGGCTTCTGCTGTGCATTCTCTCCTGACCACAACCCCAGGCAGGTGGAGAGGACCTTTCTCTTCCCAGTGACTGCTGCTGGCCAGTCCAGTGGTCCCATCTTTCTAAATCTTTTTTTTTCCCCCTGAAAATCTAGGACCGCAGCCAGCCAGAGGTAACCGATAAGTACTTCCATGACGTGCCCTTTGAGGCCCACTTTGCTTCCGAATTGCCTGATTTCCGCGTGGTCAGCAGCATGCCAGGTGTGGATGGGTTTACTCTGAAAGTAGATGCTCTCTATAAGGTGAGTGTGAGAAGAAGGCCACTTTAAAGGCAGCAAAAGGAAGACATATCATCTGTGGACTGTCAGCTTCTTTATACAGCATCTTGCTGGCACGTCCTTTTTATTGTTGTTAAGCTTATCATTCACCCCAAATTTTTACCATCTACCTCTAGTACGACAAAGTAATGGTAAAATTATTTAATTTGCATCTAGTCTCTTGTTATTGTGTATCCGGGTGCCTACCATATTCTAGTTTTCCTAATTACTTTTTATATTGCCTGCCTTCTGGGCTCTATTTTCACAAGCATGTGGAAAACATTTAACAAAATCATAAACACAATACAATAATTTAGAATGGCAATAATAAGTAGTATTTGATGAGCAAAAATACTCTAAGTCCCAGTAATAAACAAGAACTTCCAAGATCAAATTCCACTTTTTTCTGTCTCCAAATAGTAATCTATGACCTTAGATTTTAGAACTATTATCACTCTTTGGAAGTTAGTTCAAAATCATGGAGGGTTTCAGTGGAGCCAGATGACATGGCAATAAAATACTGAATGGTATAACTGCTAAGGGGATGTCCAGGGAATATTCAGATTTAGCAAATTTTTGTCAAGCATCTGCTTATTATGCACACAGTAGGTGTTTAGTGAATAAAGTATCTGCTTATTATGCACAGAGTGTTTAATGAATATTTGTTGAATGACTATTTTAACTAAACTTCATCAATAAATAGTAAATTAGCATAAAAAACAATTAAAGGTCCCTGGGAATAAATGTGGTTATTAATACTGTTACTTCTCTATAATCAAGGAAGACCAACAAATCATAAACATTTATCAGCTACAGAGAAATAAATTCTTAGGACTAGTCTATATACAGATAGACAAAGAGAAAAAGAATGTGAATAGCTGGACCAGGATCACCCTACTTTAGAAATAAAATGGAATCCATAAACTCCATCATATTTGGTTGAATTCTCGAATGGTAAACACCAACCATTGCAAATGCCTTTCTTGAAATGCATCACTTGCATGTATCCACGGAGGCTTACTAGTATGGTGGCAGCTGTCTTTCCATTTCCTTTTGTCAGAGGCGTCTGTGGGCAGCAATGACATGCTCGGTTTGTCTCCCGTTTTCCTCCTCCTGCAGGTGGAAGCAGGACACCAGTGGTACCTCCAGGTCATCTACATCATTGGCCCTGACACCCTCTCAGGGCCCCGGGTCCAGCGCTCTCTCACAGCCCCTCTGAGGCGCCACCGAAGGGACCTGGTGGACGCCAGTGGCCGGCTGGCCCTTGCCGATTCCCTCATCTATGACAATGAAGGGGACCAAGTCAAGAATGGCACCAATATGAAGTCCCTCAGCCTGGACATGCAGGAGCCCGTTGTAGCTGCCTCTCTGTCCCAAACGGGGGCGTCTATTGGCAGTGCGCTCGCTGCTATCATGCTTCTGCTTCTGGTGTTCTTGGTGGCTTGTTTCATCACCAGGAAGTGCCAGAGACAGAGGAAGAAACCGCCCACAGAGGACATTTTGGAGGAATACCCTCTGAATACCAAGGTGGAGGTGCCCAAGAGGAGCCCCGACAGGGTGGAGAAGAACGTGAGCAGACAGTACTGCACCGTGCGCAACGTCAACATACTGAGCGACGCCGAGGGGGCGTACGTGTTCAAAGGTGCTAAAGTGAAAAAATTGAATCTGGAAGTCAGAGTTCACAACAATTTACAAGACGGAACAGAAGTTTAATGGAGGAGACCCATGTGTATTTTTTTTCTAAAATCATTTTTATAAAACGGGGGAAATACTGGTATTTTTATAATCTTGCAGATGAAAAGGGAAAACTATAGCTTTGAGCAGGGGAAGGCACACATCACTTACATCAACTCACAACTGAGCTACCTCATTCAACAAAGAACCACTAGAACCCCCAGAGTACTGGAGTCGCTGTTTCTGTGGATCCCGTTAGTAGTCTCAGTAGCTGCAGTTGCTCCTGGAAGGCCGATCTCCGAAAGCAAGTGTGTTAGTGTTAGGGCGGGAGGTAGACCCTTAGGTTAGCTGATGCAGTTCCGAGGAAGGGGAATGGACAGTGGCAGATCTCAGAAAGTGGCCTTCAGGGCCTTTGGTTTCCTCCCCCACTTCCAGCTTTCTTCTACTTGGGCTTTTTCTGGGCCTCTGGACAACAGAGTTCAAATGGCTGACACCCAGATTCCATTCAAAATCCTGCTAATCAGCACAATGTTGTATTTCTCATTGCATCCACTTGACAGCCTGCACTCACTCCATGGCCTCTAATTGCACTTTGCCATTTCCAAAGTCCTTTTCACCTAGGGGTTCAAAGTGCTCCAGATACTCACAGGAGAAACCTCGGGCATGGCAGGAGGGGCAGCTGAAACCTACAGAAAGGAGGGGCCTGGCAAGCGCCTCAGAGCTATCATGTTTCTGCACTGCACCCTGGTCCCAGGGAGATGTCCTTGTGCCCAACTAGTTGATGCTACATCGAGGACATGTTAGGACACCTTTCTGTCAAAGGATGCTACAAAACAAGGTCACTGCCCATGACCTTTTTCTGCATCGCCATGGATGCTTTAGAAACCTACCACATTTCCTGCTACCCCAGGCTTTGCCCAGTCCAACAATAGACAAGCCCATGTACTTTGCTAGCTGTGGGGTTTTTATGGTGCTAGGGTTTCAGGAAAGTAAGTGATGCATTTGAATAAAGCAAATTAGGGTAAAGCCCAGGCCAGAGTGAAATCAGTGAATAGATGCCTACTAATATAAGACAGCAGATAAAGTACTAGTACTCACAGCAGATAAAGGCACCATTCCTGGTACCGTACGTATTTCAGGGATTTCTCTTTGTGGGGGTTCTTTTCTGGTAGCTCAGGCATTTATTTTTAACAAATCAGCACATGACAAGGCCATAAACACTGGCTTTTAAATGATTTCGTGTTCAAATAGCAGCTTAACGATTTTGCACATTGTGTACACACCGCTTGCTGTTGTGTTTCTTGTTGGTTCCTGCCTTATTGTAAAACCATAAGCATGCATGTCTTAAACTGAGACACCATTTCATTATTCTCTTCCTGATGCCTGCCATGCCATAATCACTGAGCAAATGACAGCGCCCCTGCACCGCATAATATTTGTACTAGAATGACCCAAGTTCTTTGGAACATTCCAAACTGGGAACACTTTGGTACTAAAAGCTAGAAAGAATGAACTCTGAAAGGTTTTCGGCATCTCTACCGTACTCCAAGCTCCTTGAGAGTAGGGCCTGTGTGAGCTGTGACTTTGATTATTCATCAGTGCCTTGCATATAATAAGCACTCTAGAAATATTTGTTGAGTGAACAGATGACTGGTGTCACAGGTGAGTTATAGAGGAATAAATTTAGAAACGGGAGGTAAGAGGGTATGGTGGCAATATCACAAGGGAAAGTAGAGAGAAAAGCAAAAACTGGCTTCTACTTGGATTATGAAATAATCTCATTGGAACAAAGAAGCACCAGTTTACGTAGACGTGAATCTGGCCATGGTCTTAAGGAGGACTGAACAGACAAGTCATAGTAGTGCATTAGCAGGAGGTGAGACTGTGACTTGGTCTCCAGAGCAAGACATATAGAGGAATGTCTGACTTAGCATGCTGCGATGAGTGTAAAGTTTTCATGATAGGATGAATCGAGGAAGCCCAGAGCCGGAAATGCCTGACTGGTCTGGTGCCACTTGAGACACCAGGCAATTTGGGGCAGAATTTATGTACCCGCCTCACAAACATCCAGAATTGGTGTCTCATGGCTTCCTGCTCACCAGAGGGGCAGACTCTTCTAACAACCTAGAGGGCTCATGCTAATTCTTCAAGGACAGGAAGCCAGTCATTTGACAAGCAACTTTGATTTGGTCCTTTATTTATCGTTCCTCATGCCAGATGCTTACACATTAAAGCAGCATCTTCCCATTTGCTCAAATATTTGTCTTGCACATCCTCTCCATTACTACCAAAGGGGACACATGATGGGAAGAGTGCAGACAAGTGGCAGGGTGAAGCTAGTTGGGAAGCGATGGAGACTGAGATCTCTGTGTGCTCCTAGCAGCCTCCATGGAGGAGGTCTTGTATGACCAGGGAAGCGTCCTGTGAAGACCTTGAGGTAGTGAATCGTCTGTGTGAAAGGAAGCCCTTGGAATAGTCCTGCCCTCCTTCCTCTCAGCCCTTCCCCCCACTACATACATGTTCCTGAATGCGGTGCTTCTCTGGTGGATGACACATTACACGGAAAGTGTTAAGAGATGTGAACTTGAGATTGACTCTTTTGATACAGAATTTTGTATTTCATTTGTTTTATACTTCATTTAGGGATCAGACCATTTGGTGGCTGATGTGGGATTATACTTCAAAACTCTGTTTTCTGTTCCTGACTTGCTCACTAAAGCCCTGTGTGTGTTTTACTAACCTCTTACAGCATGCCTTTAGGTAAGAGGGAACAAAGCCCCCAGGGGGTTGCTATTTGCTACCACACACTGGCTGGCTGTGAAGGTTAAAAGAAGAGCTGCAGCTGTTTTCTGCCTGCATTGTCCCCGGCCTCCTGGAGGACTCCTGCAGTCTCACTGGTGGATGGGGAATCATGGTGAAATACTTTTGCACAGCCTTCTGACATTCAGGCTCGGTGTCCTGTAGGAATTCTTGTGATTCTTGGATACTGCGCACCTGCTCAGACTGAGTAAAATATTTGTGGTGCTGTCAACCCGATTTCTTGACTCCCAAATGATTTTTGTATTTCCAATACCAATTTGTGTGTGGTGAATTTCTGATCTCTTCAATAGCATATGCCACTATATAAATTTGTATTAATAAATGACAGTCTGGTTGCATTTTTTTTTTTGCTATGTTCATTTTAGATTATTCATCTCAAAAGACATTGCCATTGAGATGGAAAATCATTTTGCGGCAAAGTTTTTTTGAAAAGAGTTCCCCTGAAGGTGGTGAATTTGAGATACATACTAACTGTGCTAAGAGCATGGTAGAGAATTACACATCTCCAGATAATCATAACTCTTTTCTTTCAATCAGTTGAAACCCCAGGACAAAGGGGAATCATTAAAATCTCCATGTGCGATACAATAAGATGATTATTCACACTATATTAGCCTCAAACTTTCTCAGGACAGTGTGATCCAGTGTGAGAATGGCTATGAGTCTTATGCACACAGAAAGGTTCATTAAGTGTCCATAACCCCCTGGAGATGACCAAAGCACCAAATAGTAGTTTATTGGCTTATGAAGGGGGAAATGGCAGAGTCCAAATGGGCAGTCTGGGCATTCTGCAAGCCTGTGCATTTGTGTGCCTCCCCCCTCTGTGGAATTGTTTTATATGAAAAAACAAAAATATTGCCAAGGATGGTAACCAGTAGGCCTCTGTTGGCACCTTTTCATGGTACATTAGCAAACTCAGCAAGACTTGAGAAAGCATGTTTTTATAAAATCTGGGGAAAGGAACCACAGCCGAACCTAGGATTTCCTTAGATGCTGCCAGGACTTAGCTTGAGTTTTACCTCCTCACAATTTCCTGTGATTGTCCCATACCTCACAGCAGGCTTTAAGCCCTGGGGTGCGTTTCTCTGGGGTCCAGGGAGAAGCTGTATCAGACGCCAATCTATGAATTGTTAGGAATGGCTATGAAAATGCTCCCTAAGACCTGAGATTTCATAGCTATAATATTTAGAAAACATGGGAGTAAGTGGCAGAAGATGAGTTCTCATATAAATTTTGCAATATCTCACAGATGAGGTTTTTGAAGAAATACTGGGAGCAGGAGTGACTGTATTGAGAATACCTCATTAGGCTCAACCCCATATAAATGTTGATTTTGTAGGTTAAAAATAGTCCCATGTCCGTAGTTTTATATGCTTTAACCTAATATTAAGATTCCTGTAAATGTGGACAAAAGAAACATCCTAACCTGTAGAAAGTATTAATAAGAATTTATTTGAGCCAAAATTTTGAGGACATGTCCAGAAGCAAGGTCTCAATGGATGAGAAAATGCTCGAGAAAGAAGCAGTTTTATAGTTCTTTAAATACATTTAGAATGAAAGGAGAAAAAGTAAGGAAGGGTATCTACTGGTGGTAGATAAGGAGGTGGAGAGAAAGCTGGGCAATCTCTAGGATTGAATAAAAAGGAAAATGGAGAGATACATCTTTTACATTGGTGGTCACAGGATAGTGAGCATTTAACAATTACAGTGAATAGGGGTGGGATGTGGGCAACAAGATAACAAGGACTTCTGGTGTCTTTGTGCTCTGTTGCCAGGGGTCTGCTTTTGAAGGATCTGGAAATGAAAATTATTCTGACATTTCTAAGGTGTATTATCCCAGATGCACAATAGCAACAGGCAGGGTTCCCTTAAGGTAAAGATTAACCTTTTACTAAAGAAGCTGGAGGCCTGGGATATGACTACCCACCATGACTGGCCCGCTTAGGAGTTGGCATTCAGACCATCCTGTGTGGTTGCTTTCAGTCACTGAGCTTGGCAGACCTGCCGTGTCGCTTCCTGAGCTGTCAGGTCTGTACAGCCCTTTTCTTTCACACCATCATGTATTCCAGAGATCCTGTCCCCACATAAACCCGAGAGAACTCTAACTGGGAGCCCTTTAGAATGGCACATGAGAGGCTGGTAAATTCCCAGGGACAGTGTCAAGTAATATAGTGGGCACATCTGGCCATCAAGAGCAATCACTCCTTGCCTGGCTGGTGTGGCTCAGTGATTCCAAGAGGTCACTGGTTCCATTCCTAGGCAGGGCTTGATCCTCAGTAGGGGCATATTGAGGCAGACCAATGTTTCTCTCTCAGTGATGTTTCTATCTCTCTACCCCTCTCCTTTCCTCTCTCTCTAAAAATAAAAAATTATATATATATAAAAGCAATCACTTCTTACATTCTCTACCCCATTCAGTCCTTGTAAACCACCCTATGACATGGTTCTCGGTGACTGACCTGGATAATTTTTCTTGAAAATTCCACATGAATCCTGGGATTTCAAATCTTTGCCAGGGGCCCTCACAAGCACAAATTGGTGTTGCTTAATAATAGTCCACAGCTCCTATAACTTGGATTTAATGCTTGTCATGAAAATTCAGTCAGTTGGTTACTACAACAAAATAGACCGAGATTGCAACTCTCTAAGAAATCTAGCAACATGTTATTCCTGGGCTCATTTGGTTTAAGGCCATTAAGTTCTAAGACCAGTAAGTTATAAAAGTTTGCTAGAATCCTAGTCTCTGGGACAACTCCATAAATGGTTTAAAACCAATTTCAAGATGTCTCCCTTAAACATCCCATTAAAGAATGTGTCCAAAATGAACCCGCACTCGATAACAGTGACTCACAAAAGTCCCGTGCTGCTTATTCTGTTTGTCTCCATAGGGATTCTCTGCCTTGTTTATGCTCCAGGAAACTTTCCTTTCCAAACTGCTTCTCCAAGGCTCCTCTGCCCCTTGGCTTCTGGCTGAAATGGGCCAAATGATGGGAGAGAAGTTGGGATGTGTCTATCCCTCCCCACTGCTTAGCTGTGGTTCTGATGGTGCCTGCAGCCTGCCCAGGCCACAGTCCAGTTCTCAAAGGCACTGATAAGACTGTCCCTCCCATGTCCAGACAGGCCTAGAGGCACTTTTGATGTCAACCTGTTCCTAGTCCGTGGGGCTTCATCACCACCCATTACTCATTTCCTTCTGGATATCCAGTCCTAGTACTTCCTGGTGTGTGCCATACAACCTGTGGAAATTACCAAATTAAGCTAGTGAGTAAGCATGAAGTAAGTGCATTAGTCAATGTCTGGCATAAGTCATAGGCCCTCAGTAAATATCTCCTTTCTGCACCCATGCTAATCCTAGAAGTTTCCAGAATGAGGCTGGGCTTAGTCTATTGCGGTGATCTCTACAAGGGAGTCGGGAATTAGGATGAAAAACGGAAGAGAGAACACAGTCATATCTTCTCCTGGCAGAAAGCTCATCACTCTCGATTTGTAAATCTGGTGCAAACCTGGCGGGCTCCAGCTTTCTAAGCAAGGCTGTCTCTCTGCTTTCTCCATTGCGGCTCCTCTTCTATTTAAGGGAGGGTGTGCTCTTGAACCAGTGGTTCTTCAGCTCTAGGGTCCAGCAGAATCGCCTGGAGGGCTCACTAAGCAGGTAGGTTAGGGTAGGGTCTGAGAGAACTTATGCTTTGACAGGTTCCCAGGTCCGGCACCCAGCAGGGAGGACCTCTGCTTCGGCCTCTTCAGCTCCCACACAGCAGTCCAAGCCAGGGCTTTTCCTGTGAGTCCCAGCACGCCCTATGTTGGCTAAAGGGGCATCATGTATTACCCTGTGAAAGACTAGGGGGGAAATGCACTCTGATAGTTTAAGTAGCTGTAGATCAGCAGTTCTCAACCTGTGGGTCGCAACCCCTTTGGCGGTTGAACGACCCTTTCACAGGGGTCGCCTAAGACCATCCTGCATATCAGATATTTACATGACGATTCATAACAGTAGCAACATTACAGTTATGAAGTAGCAAAGAAAATAATTTTATGGCTGGGTCACAACATGAGGAACTGTATTTAAAGGGCCAGAAGGTTGAGAACCACTGCGTAGCTAAACCAAACCAAAAGTTTTCAATCAACTAAATGACAATTCATCAGTCCTAATGCTTTTCTTCCAATTCATATTTTCACTAAAACTTTTTGCAGAATAACAGGAATGGCAGGAAGGCAACCTCACACCATGATTGGGAAATATGGGGCACACTGATTTGAAATTAAAAAGAAACCAGGAATTCTTTCAGATGACAGTGTCCAAATCTTTCCAATTTCATTGCCTTCTCCCCTGCCTGTCCCAAGCTTCTTGATGTTCCTGTGCTCCTGAAGCTACCATGTTTCAAGTCCTTTCCAGAATTTAACATTATGTATAAAAATGATAAAGTGTCACACATTACTGACTTTAGTGCCACATGAGTTTGTCTTGATCTCAGATTGTAAACTCACTGATATTCCAACTACGTCTGATTATTTCCTTTTAAACTTCATAGCACATGCCTTACAGGAAGGCTGCAGTCAATAAATACTTTTTGCTTATGTCCTTGGGTAAATCACCTAAACTTCTTAAGCCTCAGTTCCCCAGCTGCAAATTCTAATAAAAATACCACCTCCCAGGGTTGCCTTGAAGATAAAAGAGGTGATGGAAGCAAGCGCTTATTTCCAGGCCCGACATCAACTAAATGGTAGCTTTAACTCCATCCT